ACTTTCCTGGAGCTCATCAAATGAGTTAGGCAAGTAGGCCGGCCAGTGAGCTCCTGGGGTCATCCTGTCTCTGCCTCTTTAGTGCTTTTACATGGGTACTCGGGACCCAAACTCAGGTCCTCATGCTTGCATGGCAGCCACTTTACTGACTGAGCCACCTCCCAGTCCCCAAAACAAATTTTTAAAAATTAAAAAATGTTTTATTTTATATGTATGAGTGTTTTGCAGAATTAAATGCACCCATGTGTGCAGTGCCTGTGGAGGCCAGAAGAGGGTGTCAGATCCTCTGGAACTAGAGTTATAGATGGTTGTTAGCTGCCATGTGGGTGCTGGGAACCAAATCTGGGTCCTCTGCAAGAGCAGCTAGTGCACTTTAACTATGCTGGTTATCAAAGGACATAGGAGCTGTGTGGTAAGAATAACTACCATGGAATTGAAGAACATAAGAAGCTAACAGTTTACATTAATTTTAATGAGCTAGAATTTGAAAGGCCCAGCATGGAGATCTTATAAAGATAGAATCTTCTCAACTTAATGGCACATGGAGGTGAAATTTCCTAATATTCTCTAATAAACTTTTTGAAACCATTAGTATTCTGTATGCTTGTTTACTCATTCATAAACATTACTGAGTACCTGCCATGTGCCAAGAATGATTAAAAGTGTTGAAGTCAGAGTAACAAAAAAACCCAAACCAAACCAAACCAACAATAAAATGCCTCCAAAGAAGTTTTCTCCTTGTGGAGCATTATTTTGTGGGAGGAGATAGATGAAATGAATAAATAAGAAAACAATTAGCATTACAAAGTAGTATCATGAGAAAATAAATCATGGGGCTGGAGAGATGGCTCAGTGGTTAAGAGCATTGGCTGCTTTTCTAGGGGACCAGGATTCAGTTCCCAGCACCCACATGGTAGTTAACAACCAACCATAACTCCCTCTTCCTGTCTCCCCAGACACCAGGTATGCGTGAGGCACTTACATGCAAACAAAACACTCATATACATAAAAGAAAAACAAAAATCTTAAAAAAAATCATTGCTTCTTTCTCATTTTACCTCAGGGATGACAAGAGCTGAGTAATAACTTGCTCATTTAAATTACTCAGTCTCAGGCTGGAGCGATGGCTCAGTGGTTAAGAGCACTGGCTGCTCTTGCAGATGACAAGGATTTGGTTCTCAGCACCCACATAGTGGCAAAAAACCATTTGTAACTCCAGTTTCAGGAGATCCAACATTCTCTTCTGGCCTCCGTGGGCATTGCATGACATGAGTGTACTCACATACAGGCAAAACTCATACACATAAAATAAAAATTAATTAATTAAAAGTAAAGCTTAATTTGAAGAAAAGTTGGACAGAAATACAAACTGTAAATTCTGACGTAAGCTCTGAAACCAACAGTTGGAAACCACCTGAAGTGAAGCACGGGCTTCTCATGGGGAAGTTACAGGGCTGTGTTGCACATTTTCACATGTACATGTTTGTATATGGCTCCCTCTCCCTTGAACACGCCCTCACCTGGCTCCCTCCCTACTATTTTCATTCCACATTCAATCTGGTGCCAGCCTCTACTCACATTACTGATCTCAAAGCCCTGGGTTCAGTGCCACTGTTGTGTTGAATAGGAACGTGATTTCCCAAGGAAGGTACTGAGTCTGTGGGTGCATTGTTTAGGCTTCAGTGATCTTCCTTCATTGGACTGTAAAGGTAGGTACATTGTGTAGGTAATGATAAGCGCTGCAGGTTTTCTCTTTTTCATCATCTCATCCCCACTGAGACTACTGCAAGGCACATAGTAAGAGCTCAGTATTTGCCATAGAAATGAATAAACTTCTACTAAGTATCTGTGAGTGCATGCCCAATAAGTATGTATTTCACTAACTATGCAACGTGGTGATTACACAGTAAAATTTAATCAGTATAATGTTCTTAATGATTTGTCCTGAAATCAATCTCTCTCTCTCTCTCTCTCTCTCTCTCTCTCTCTCTCTCTCTCCTTCTCTCACATAGTATGTTGCTGCTTTAATAAGTTAGTTTTATAATGATCACATGGTAATATAAGTAAAAAATGTTAAGTAATTTATTACTTTTAAAAGGATTTATTACGGAAAAACCCCACTTTTTAAAAAAGCCAGGGTTTCATGTTGCCCAGGCTGGCCTTGAACTCTTGATCCCCCTGTCTTTGGCTCTTGAGAACTGAAATGAACAGGAGTTTGCCACCATGCCTGGTCAGAAAAATTTCAAATATGAAAAATAAGAATAATAGGAGGTTGTGGGTTCCAGTGTCCGCACAGCCTCTTATGCAGCAGGGGTGGGGGCCAGTGGTCTCAGTCCCTAAGGCATAGGCTTGTGTTCTTGAAATATGAATCCTGTTTATAGTTCTGGGCCTCCTGGTGTTCCCTATGCAAATGCCAAAGGAACTGATTATCCAGCTGGAGTCCCTATGGGCACAGCAGCTCCTTCCTTCCAGTTACCCTGCTGACTGATGATTCTCTAACTCCTGTTGCCCCTCACCTGGTCACTGTGCCCACATACCAGGCCCAGTAACACTCACAGCTGTGTGCTCCCTCAGTGGTGATCACCCTGCAAATTCATATTTGAGCATGGAGCTGTGTGGTCACATCACTGAGTTCCACAGCTGGTACTGCCTCCAACCAGGACTTTCTCCTTAATGTTCTGAACCCGTAGCTAAACATGACCTGCAGGTTCCAACACAGCTAGTTTCCAATTAACTCTGTGGTTTGGTCCTAAAGCAATTCCTGGTTTGTGGACTGTCTGGCAACTTTTTTAGCTGACTGCAGTGATAAAAAGGGAATATTAATCTATTCTGAATCATATTTGAATGCCTGCTTATAAAAACAAACACAAAAACAAAGCTTGCTCAATCAACCTGTAGTGACTGATTAAAAAACCATCAGGTGAAAAACCCAAAAGGAATGGACATATTTTACAACCTGTGTCACTCATGCAATTGTAATCTGAGTATCAAAGTTTAAAAAAAAGAATAATGTTAAATCTATAATAATAATAATAATAATAGTAGTAATAATAAAAACCTCAGTCACCCCCATGGTCACTTTTATTTCATTCACAGCCTCACCTGACCCAAGCTTATTTTAAAACAAACCCAGACACCATAGTATTTGATTGTCTCATTGTCAGGCCTAGAATTTATGCAGCCCAGGGTGGCCTTTAATGCTTGAACTTGCTTTAGCCTCCTGAGTGCTGGGAATGTGGAAGAATTGTAGGAGTACAGAACGTGCCACCCCTGCAGCATCTACCCTGTCACTATGATTTTTTAGAAAAATCTTTGTATAAGAAAGTTTATGAAACATGTACATATTATCTGTTTCCATTCTCCTAGACTGGTCTTTTCACAGAAGCAAAGGCATAGAAATTAAGTCAAACTTGAACTCATTTATTTTCTCCTTTTCAAAAAATATGTTTTAAAAATTTATGCGTGTTTTGCCCGCATGTATTTAAGTGCACCTGTGTTGTGCAATGCCCACGGAGGTCAGAAGAGGGCAATGGATCCCCTGGAATTACTGACAGTTGTTAACCATCATGTGGGTGCTGGGATTTGAACCCAGGTCCTCTGCAAGAGCAGCCTCTCCTCTTAACCACTGAGTCATCTTTCCACACCCAGCTTTTTCCCTTTTAAAAACCAAGTTTGGTCCTTGCTTCAAGTAGCCTTTACTAAAACTGGAATGACACAGAGAAGATTAACACGTGTCCTACCCATCGGGGAGAGATATGTATGTGGGGGGGGGAGGGGGGGGGGGGGGGGGGGGGGAGGGAGAGGGAAAGGGAGAGAGGAGAGGGGAGAGAGGTGGGTGACAGTAATCAGACCACACTGTAAACTTCTTGATCCTCCTGCTTCTAGGTGGTGCTGGACACAAACTGGGCTTGCTTTTTTGCGATAAATTCTCATTCTGTAGTTCTGGCTGGCCTGGAAATGGTCATCTTCCTGTCTCTACCTTCAAAGTGCTGGGTATACTGACTGGTTTAAAAAATCTTTTTTGGAGGGTGCAGCTCAGGCTAGCCTTGAACACTTGATCCTCTTGCCTCAGTCTTCAAGTGCTGGGATTACAGGTCTTGCCAAGGCCACGTGTTTAAAATGTATTTTTTGAGACAGACTCTCATTTTCACAGCTCAGGCTTGCATTACTGGATCCTCTGTCTCAGCCACTGCTCCTCAGTGCTGGGATTACAAATGGTATACATTTTATACAAATGCCCATAAGGAAAAAGTAGACTATAATAGTGTATGAAGCTTTGGAGTCTCAACATCAGCTGTTTGGAACCTCTGGTTTAGACCGGATCACTTACGCCGTGATGGTCAAATATAACAATACAGCAATAACGGGTGCACACCTTTAGTCCCAGCACTCAAGAGGCAGAGGGAGGCGGATCTCTGTGAGATCCAGGGCAGCCTGGTCTACATAAGAGTTCCAGGTCAGCTGGGGATTCAGGGAGACCCTGTCTCAAAACAAAAACAAAACCCCCAATCCGCGATAGTGAAAAAACAGCTGTTATTGATTAGGTACCAGTTTGTCAGGCATCATGCCAAGTGATTTAAACCTTTAATAGTCAAAATGCCCTATCCGAGGTAGGCATTAAAAAAGAACTGTGTGTGTGTGTGTATCGGAGGAAAACTTGCAGGAATCGGTTCTCCCCTTCCATGTGGGTTCTGGGTTTTGAACTCAGGTCATCAGGCTTTTTACCCGCTTTGCCATCTCGTCTGACCAGTGTAGGCATTTTTATGTTTTCCCGGCGAGCACACCGAGTTTCGGAGCAGCTACTGCCGAGATGGGACTGAGGCTGGGCTGACCCCTGAGCTGCCCACCCCACGAGGGTAGAAAGAACACAAAACTGTGCAGAGTGGAAAGAACTCAGTCTTAATCCCAGCTAGGAAGAGAGCGGGCGACTGACCCAGAAACCCGAAGTGGGTGGTGGGCGGGGATGAATGGACAAACTGCCGGCGGAAGTTGAGCCGCGACTTCCGGCTGCGAGTCGGAAGTGGCTCTTCTGCGCCGGGCAGGTTTAGCGCGTAGCGGCTGCGTGGAGTTTGAGTGCGGCTGGCACACGAGGTAGTGGTGTCGTGCTTCCCCGTGACCCGCAGTGGAGATGTCGCACCCGTCCCCGCTAGCCAAGCCCTCCAACCCCAAGAACCCTCGCGTCTTCTTCGACGTGGACATCGGAGGGGAGCGAGGTGAGCGGAGCGGCCGCGCAGCCCGAGGGTCCCGCGCTTCGGACTTCCCGGCTGCGCCTGGACCCGGGGTTGGGCGGGAGATGGCTGCCTGGATTTCACCTTGAAGAAGATGGGGAGGCCGCGGATGGGTCGAGCGCTCGCCTTGTAGCCAGTGCCGCAGGTCCTGCGGAAGTTTCTGGAAATTTCTAGTTCCGGAATTGGGGCTGCCTTTATGTTTATTCCTTCATTAGGTTGCACTTCCCTGCCGCATTTGCACCACCAGCTTATTACAGATGATTTGACGCGCGTTGCGAATAGTTCACGAGGCTCCTGGGATATCCGTCTGCAGGGCTCTGGTCAAGCTATGCGCCTTTTGACACACCGAATAATCGGCGGGTGCCATGTTATTTACAAATTAAAGTGCCCTTTTTTGCTTATTGCTTTTTCCTCGGTACTGATTTGTATCAGCAGTCTGGTTAGGCGATCATTCCTGCTACTGGCACGGGGTAGTTGAGCTCCACGCAGCAATGTAGTCGCCTACGATTGCCCAAGAAATCCTAAGGCCTTGTGAATTGGGGAGTGTGTTGCTTTGTAATTGAGTTATGCTTGTTCTGGAATATGTTGAGTTGTTGGGCCTGTGGGTGGAGACACATTTACATATATAGATTCGTTTTTTGGAACTAATGAAGTTTTATTGTTTAATATCTTCGGAGTTGAGACAGGAACCTTTTAAACTTGTTTCAGAAGCGCACTAGACAGTTTCCACAGAGCACAGAGAAAGGCTAAAGTATAAAAAAATCCCAGCCAACCTGACCTTTCCAAGGATATATTTCTTCTAGTGGTTACTTGGTGATTAGAAGTTCTGAGTACAAGGCCTCTGAGATGCCTCCTGCTGCCAAACCTGCCTACCTGAGTTCCACCCCAGGAACCACATGATGGAAGGAGAGAACTCTGGAAAGTTGTCCACTGACCTCCGTACTCTGTGTTGCACCCACCCCCACAAATGTTAAAATTTGAAAAAAAAAAATCATTTATCAAAGGTGTTGTTCAGGATTTTAAACTACCTGTACTTCATGGTGTCCCATATATACTGCTAATCTGCTGGATGCTGTAATTGGTTACATCTTCTGTATGATGTTTCAAGTTAATATACCCGTATATGAAGCTTCACTTAAGATTAAGTATGAATGCTAGAAAAATTATAAGATTCAGCAGGTTTACAGTTGAGCTTAGATCCAAGGGAAAAAATGTCCTTGCATTATTATTTACAGTAGCCCAGATATGCAATCAGTGTTCATCAGTGGATGAATACATACAATGTGGTGTAGACACAGTACAACTCAGCCTTTAAAAAGAAATCCTGCCAGGTGTGGTGGCACATGCCTTTAATCCCAGCAGAGGCAGGAGAATGTCAGTTCAGGGCCAGTCTTGTTTACATAGTGAGTCCAGGGCAGCCAGTGCTAGGTATTGAGAAGGAAAAAGAATGAAATCTTATGACTGCATGGATGAATCTAGAGGCTATTACACCAAATGAAATAAGCCAGACACAGGAGGATGAATACAACAGGATCTCACTTATGTAGGATCCAAAAAAGTACTGGAGAAGTAGAGTGATAGATACCAGGGCTGGGGTGATGTCAAAGGATGCATAATTTACCTTTAAAAGGAGAGGTAAGTTCAAGAGATAGGTTATTCAACGTTATGACTAGTTAAGAATGTAGTAAAAGACAATTCAGCAATTTATCATGTGTTAAGCACCAGTTATCTATCATTTGCCAACATTTGGTGGTTCTGTCTGCTGACAAGATTTCCTTTTTTTTCTCTTTTAGTTGGTCGAATTGTTTTAGAATTATTTGCAGATATTGTTCCCAAAACTGCAGAAAATTTTCGTGCATTGTGTACTGGAGAAAAAGGCACCGGATCCACAACTGGGAAACCTCTCCATTTTAAAGGCTGTCCTTTCCATCGAAGTATGTGTATAAATTTTTTCAGCCTGATTATCTTCACACAGATAATCCTGTTAGGAGTTAAAGAAGAAAACACTAAATAGGGAGTAGACTAGAAGTGCACTATTAATTTCTGGAGGATGTTCAGACACTTGATTGCTCATCCTAAATACTGGGCCTGGAGTACTGGACAGACTACGAGAGGGTACTAAAGTTTATCTGCCAAGAAGGGGACTCCCTTTGCCTTACCAGTCCTCTAGCTCTTCTTCACTGCCAAACCATTTGATAAAGAAAAAAACATGACCAGATAAATAAGCTGACCTTAGGTCATGAGATTCAGTGTCTTGGACACCCTGGTGATATGTGATTAAACTTGTAATTTCATATTTTCATACCTTTGTTTACTGGTTATTTGATTGTTCGCCCAGTGGACTGTAGGCATCACAAGTTCATGAGCTATATGTTCTCACTGTTTTATTTTCAGCATCTAGTGTAGTTGTTAAGCACTCAGTAAAATTATGGAAAAACAAATCCATTGTAATATCAGTAATTTGTTTTTTCTGTGTTGCTGGGGATTGAACCCATGGCCTTAGCACATACTAGGAAAACAGTGTATCCTGAGCAACACCCCTAGTCCAGTAGTTACATTTTCTCAAAAACCTAACTTAAGAAAAATGAATATTGATATATGAAAATGCGTTTAGAAAATATTTAATATGGGGCTGGAGTTAAGAGGCTCAGAGTTTAAAGAGCTTCCTGCCCTTTCTGGAGGACCCAAGTTGGGTTCCTAGTGATGGTGGCTAGTGGTTCACAGCTGCCTATAACTCCAGCTCCAGGGAGTCCAATGCCCTCTTGTGGCTTCCACAGGCAACTCCCCCCATGTTGTATATATTTACATAGACAAATATACACAAATAAATATTTAAAAAATAATTAATATAGTAGGTTTGAGACACCTATTTTCATAAAGGTCTGCTTCCAAGGGTAGCTGTTGGCTGGAGTTGAGAACTTGGCGCTTGATCTGTTCCTTATATCACAAGGATGGATTATTATGTCTGCACTATTGGTACAAATGTAATTGATACCAAGGGTCTGCTTTTTAAGGAGTCTTAAATTTTGGAGCATGTTAGGCAGAGACAAGATAAGGCCCCAGTAAAATAGCTTAGGTGCTGGGTTTCTACTTGGATTTTGTGGGCAGAATCGTAACAGATCTTTGTACATTTTTGTTGCTAGGAGAAGTATGTGTTCTGTGACGCTCATGGGAAGGAGGGAGCCTAAGGAAGCCTGCATGGATTCCTCCCAACTCTCTCCCTTATCTAGCTGTGTGTCTTTATTGTCACAGTATAGCCAAATGAACATGGTGATTTTGGTAACCTTTGATACAAAGGGCTATATCAAAGTATTGTAATTAAGTATGTAAAAAAATCTATGGGATGCTTTCCCAGCATGTGAAGCCCTGGGTTCAGTCTTCAGTGCTGTGTTAAACACAACTGGGGATAATTGGTGGTTATTTAGCAGGCGTTATTGAGTAGCTGTATACATTTCAAGGAATAAAGATAGAATGTTTAAGAAATTCATTGTTGGGAAGGACAGATGATTATATGTTATAAAGTGGAAGTAGAGCCAGGATAATGCTGGAGATATTAGGAGATTCAGCTTTTGTGTTTCAGTGACAGTTTTATAGGGAGATATTCTGTGAATTAATTCCTCAAGTGTTGGGTGGGAGTCAGCAGTAGTCTGTTAGACTCAGATAGTGAGAAGTCTTAACAGTAGAGTTGGTGGGATGGGGAGGAAAAGGCAGAGACATGACTGAACTTGTGCTTGGGAAGTTGTCTTCTGTCTGTTGTTCACTAGTTAGTATTGTTGAACCCCATGTTTCAGTTATTAATAGCTGTAATTCTTTTTTGTAGTTATTAAGAAATTTATGATTCAGGGTGGAGACTTCTCAAATCAGAATGGAACAGGTGGAGAAAGTATTTATGGTGAAAAATTTGAAGATGAAAATTTTCATTATAAGGTAAAGAAAAATGCATGTTTTTGCTAATAAAAAGACTATGTATCTAAAATATACTTGGATTAAAACACCAAAAAATGTCTTTCAAGTGTGCCCAGCTTGCTGTCCTCTCCTCCCTGTTCTTTCTCTTCCTTCTGGTACTAGGTCCTCTTATGCCAGGCATGTGCTCCATCACTGAGCTGCCCTGCCTCGTCTTTTTCATTTTGAAACTAGGTCTTGCCTAGTTGCTCAGGCTGTCCGTGAACTCACTTTGTAGCCCAGCTAGGCCTTGAACGCCAGTTCTCCTGCCTTAGTTTCTTGAGTAGCTGGGATTATAAACTTGTGTCAGCAGGCTTAGTGTGAATTCTATTTTCTTAATAGAAGTTATAATTTGTAAATTAGCATTTTGTGTGTGTATGTGATATTGGGGATGAGCTCAGGGTCTCATGCATGCTAGGCAGTTCTCTACCGCAGGTTTATCCAGTAATAGTTTTATTTTTGGTGACATAGCATCTTACTAAGGAACTCAGAGTGGTCTTGAACTTGCTATCTTCATGCATTTGCCTCCTGAGTACTAGAATGAGAGATGGGCATTACCACACCTGACCAGTAATGATTTTTTTTGGCAAAAAATACTTTAGTTATTTCAGTATGATGAGTTTTTACATCAGTTAAACCCCCATATGGCAAAGTTGATCCCAGGAAAAATGTTCTCATTATTGTAAGGATGGTAACTTGTGCATCTTTATCCTTGAATTTGAAGAACAAAACCATCGCTAATATCCAGGATGTCAGGGGATTTTCCACCTAGCGGATATGGTTAATGTTCGGGTATATTGCACCATTCCCGTTTTAAGAACACACATGTAAGTACAAAAGTAAAGTGATGTCTTTGGAAATGAGGAATATGAACAAGGTAATTAGAGCAACTTGGAAAGAGAACATCAACAGTATTTGTTGCTCATTTCTGTTGCTGCTGCCAAAGAGCTTATAGAAATGAAAGACTGTTTATCTTTCCTCAGAGTCAAGTTTAAAACACCGAACAAGTGGAGGGTAATAATTAATTCGCAGATAATGGTAAATTGATTGAGTATATTTGCTTGTATAATTTTGATACAAGCTGAGTAGCCCTTACATGAAATGCTTGGCTAGAAAAAGTTCAGGTTTCATAGGAATTAGATTTTGACATAGTTACATAGGTTTTATGGAATGAGCATCCCTAACCTGAAAATCTGAAATCTGAGACTTTGAATGTTGTTGCTCAAAGAGTTTCAGATTTTGTAGCATGCCTCACTTTGTGTTTTACTTTATGTCATAGGAGACAGATGTGATTTAGATGTCCAGTGTCTCCCCGTGAGCACTTAAACTGGGCCTCCGCAAGGTGGCTGAAATTTTGCTAGGCAGGGACTAAAATGCAGACTCAAAATGAAGTGATGTGAGTGAGGTGAAAATGGCAGGGGTAGACCAAGGAAAGAACGCTGATGCTCAAGTGGGTATTTTAAGAAAGCACCAAACAAAGTTAGTGTAAGGTTGAAAACTAAGATTATGTGAAGATCACAGTTTAAAAAGAAAGGCTTAAGGAAGAGGAGTTTAGATTGATGGGATAAAAGGCATCTTAGGTGGGAAACGTAACCTCAAAGTTACAGTGCATGCACAATGTGGTATGTATTTTGAAAGCCCAAGCTATGCACGGTAGAAAAATGAAGGAATTGACTTTCACAAAACCTTTTGAATAGGTTTGTTTTTGTTTTTGAGATGTATGTAGTATACCTAGATGAAAGTCGAAAGGTGTGAATTCTGCGGTTAAGGAAGTACTCACCTGAATGACTTATCTGAATTCTCTATCACATTACTGTTCCCTGTTTAGTGTGAATGAAAAAGTCATAATCTAGGCGTATTACTGAAATGGCAAAAATGTACAGGGGTTCTAAGAAAAATAGCAACCATCATAAAACCAGCAAAGTAAGTTAGTGGATGTCCTTAGTGCAGCGTCTTCATCTTAAATATTGAAATAAAATCATTTCTTCCCCCATTGCTAGCTTGAAGCTTAAAGTGTTTTCTTGATTAAAGGTGGTAGCTCATACAACGTAAAAGGTACTTAAACATTTTTAAGTAAAATTGATGTAAAAGAATAGAATTTAAATAGTACAATTAGCCTATTTTATGTGACTAGTGAGTAAAAGAACTCAGACTAAGACCTAATCTTTTTTTCTTTTAATGATTTTATCTCTGCAGCATGATCGGGACGGTTTGTTGAGCATGGCAAATGCAGGCCCCAATACAAATGGTTCTCAGTTCTTTATCACAACAGTTCCAACGCCTCATTTGGATGGGAAACATGTGGTGTTTGGTCAAGTAGTTAAAGGACTTGGTGTGGCAAGGATGCTTGAAAATGTAGAAGTGAATGATGAAAAACCTACCAAAGTAAGTAAAACATTACAGTGAAATACACACATACTAGCTTAGTTACTGTGTCAGAGAAATGTCAGTCGAATGGTCAAGTGACTATCACCTAGAAAAGTTAAAAATAAATTAGGATGATTTTTCTCTTCTTTTTTTTTTTCTTTTTTTTAAAGTTAGGTGCCTGGATTGATCACTTTTTTCTCTTTTTGGCAACTAAAATTTATTTTCCTGATTTCTTTCATTTTTTATGTTTATGAATGTTTTGCCTGTTAGTATGTAAGTGTAGCACATGTATGCAACACACATGGAGGCTAGAAGAAGGTGTAAGATCCTCTGGAACTCTTGCTGACAGTTGTTAGCGTAGGTACTGGGAATTGAACCCTGGTCCTCTGCAAGAGCAGCCAGTGCTCTTAACAGCTAAGCCATCTGTCCAGACCTTTTGCAATTTTTTTTTCTTTTTTTTTACAATTGTCAAGATTAATGCAGTTTAAAGGAGATATATTTATTTACTTTTTGGGGGGGGTCTTTGTAGACCTGGGTTTCCTCAAATTTTCAGCAATCCTGTCTCTGCCTCTCAAATGCTAGGATTGCAAATGTCTATCACCATGCCCAGCAAAGAGATTTTAATTGTTATTTCAGCTACAGTGTTGGGATCTTTGCTGGATTACGGAGATCTTCCTATATTTGTAAAACTTGAGCCAGGATTTTTAGTAGTACACACTTAGTAAGAAAACATAAAAGGTGACATTGTGCTGTTAACTAGAAGTTTAGCTTAAATTTAGTTGCTTTTCTTGGTCTGTTTTTTTCATCCTGTGTGAATTGCTCAAGGGTTTAGACTGTATTTTTTCTGAAGACCTTTAGGTTGTAAATACCTGTGAATCAGAATGACTATAATACAGCCCACTCTAAGCAACAGGTAGTGCATAGGAATTGATAACTCAATTACCTGTAGGAAGTGTGCCTATAATACAGCCCCCTCTAAGCAACAGGTAGTGCATAGGAATTGATAACTCAATTACCTGTAGGAAGTGTGCCTATAATACAGCCCCCTCTAAGCAACAGGTAGTGCATAGGAATTGATAACTCAGTTACCTGTAGGAAGTATGCCTATAATACAGCCCCCTCTAAGCAACAGGTAGTGCATAGGAATTGATAACTCAGTTACCTGTAGGAAGTATGCCTATAGCCAGAGTACAAAAGGAACCACAGGAGACCATAGACTTATTTATGCATCACCTAAGATAGCTACATACACAATGGTGTGGTTCTCAACTGTGTTCATGGAGCTCCTGAACAGCAGTATTGTGTGAATAGTGACATTGTTATATTAGCTGGAATGTACAAAAGGACGTTACTGTAATTATAGCAGGTAGATGCACCCCTTAACATAAATCTCTGATTTGGGTAGTATTGCACATGACTTCTGTCTATGCCACTTTTAAAGGCAGACTTAAAGATCTCATTAATACACACTAAAACAATTTCTTTTTACAGTTGTGCATTATTGCAGAATGTGGAGAATTGAAAGAAGGGGACGATTGGGGAATAATCCCTAAAGATGGCTCTGGTGACAGTCATCCAGATTTCCCTGAGGATGCAGATATAGATTTAAAAGATGTGAGTACTTTCAGATGAGTAAACTTTAATTATTTAAGTAAATTAAAATATTTAGTACTAAAAGCTTGAGCTTTGTATACCAGTCTGTCATAATAGTAGAACCGTAGCATTAAGTCACATTGTTTACCAATATCTGACATGTTTGTCTTTTATACAGGTAGATAAAATTTTACTGATAACTGAAGACTTAAAGAATATTGGAAATACATTTTTCAAATCTCAGAACTGGGAGATGGCTATTAAAAAATATGCAAAGGTTTTAAGGTAATAAACCATTAAAAAAAATTTACTATTTTTATTTTATGTGAATGGGTGTATTGCCTGCATGTGTTTAAGTGCACCTGTGTTGTACAGTGCCCACGGAGTCAGAAGAGGGTGTCAGATGGCCTTGAACTGGAGTTACGGACGGACGGACAGTGGTTAGCTGCCTTGTGGGTGCTGGGAATCGAACACGGGTCCTCTGCAAGAGCAGCTGGTGCTCTTAACTACTGAACCATCTCCAGCCTGGTAATAAACTTTTTTTTTTTGGTCTTTTTGAGACAGGGTCTCCCTGTAGCCCTAGCTGTCCTGGAACTCACTATGTAGACCAGGCTGGCCTTGAACTCACAGAGATCCATCTGCCTCTGCCTCCCGAGTGCTGGGATTAAAGATGTACACCATCATACCGGGCTAAATTTTTAATTTTTTAATTAATTTTTTTTGGGTCTTTTTGAGATAGGGTCTCCCTGTAGCCACAGCTGGCCTCGATTTGCTCTGTAGACTAGGCTGGCCTCAAATTCACAGAGATTCTCCTGCTTCTTTCTCCTGAGTGTTGGGATTAAAGGCTTGCGCCATCACACCCAGCATCTGGCTAAGTTTTTAAATTTGTGTGTCTGTGTGTACACACAGGTGTATTTGTGGGCCAGAGTACAGCACTGGGGACACTGTCTACCTCCTTTGAGACTGGGTCTCATATTGGCCTAAAGCTCAACAATTAGGTTAGACTCTCTGGGCACCCAGCCCCAGGGATCCTCCTGTCTACATAGTGAGTTTCAGGTCAGCTGGGGCTACAGTGAGACCCTGTCTGAAAAAGACAAAAGACAAAAAAAAAAAAAAAATCTAAAAGTTCCAGCATCTGAAAATCAGTGTTTAATTAGATTATGATCATGGAGTTTCAGATTAGCGTTTAATAAACTTTTAATATCAGGCACTATGTGATACTTTTTGGCATAGTTCAAGCATTGTTTGGTATGTTTTCTAGGTATGTGGATAGTACAAAGGCTGTTATTGAGAAAGCAGATACATCCAGACTACATCCTGTAGCCTTAAGCTGTGTTCTGAATATTGGTGCTTGTAAATTGAAGATGTCAAATTGGCAAGGAGCAATTGACAGTTGTTTGGAGGTAAGTCTGTGTGATGTTGAGCCTTTTGAAGAAGTGGGATTTTGACTTACCAAGTTGAAAAAAAAGCAATGTGGACTGTTGAGTTAAATGCGCTTTCTCCTTTACCTTTGGTTGGAGGCTTTTGTGCTTGACTCTACAACTGGACTATGTCCTCGGCATAGTCATGATTTCTTTATAGCCAAGAGTGGGCCTGAACCCTGAAAGTTTGTTCCTTCAGATCTCCCAGGGAGCTCTGCCCCTGAGCTAGGCCTCACTCACACTCTTTCAAAACCAGTTCTCCAGCATGAATTGGGGAACTATGAGCTTGCATCCTCCCTTATTTATTTTTATTTTTTATCTGGTCTTTTTGAGACAGGGTCTCCCTGTAGCCCCAGCTTGCCTGGAACTCACTGGCGCTGGCCATATCTCATAGAGGCGTGCCTGCCTCTGCCTCATGACTGTTGGAATTAAAGGCGAGCACCACCACATCCAGCACATTTTTTAAAAAAAAAATATTTATTATGTTTATTTCATGTGTATGCGTGTATTGCCTGCACGTAGGTTAAGTGCACCCATGCTATGTAATGCCCTCGGAGGTCAGAAGAGGCTGTCGGATCCCCATGTGGGTGCTGGGATTTGAACCCGGGTCTTCTGCAAGAACACCCAGTGTTCTTAACTGCTGCGCCATTTCTCCAGCCCCCCCAGCATATCCTTTTTAAAAATATTATATTTTTTAAAATACTATATTATTTTTCTTTTTTTTAAAAAAGAATATTATTTTTATTTCATGTGTATTGCCTATATGTATGTAAGTGCACCCGTGTTGTGCAATACTAGTGGAGGTCAGAAGGCGGTGTCAGAGTTACAAACCATTGTTAGCCACCATTTGGGTGCTGGGAATTGAACCCAGGTCCTCTGCCCCTGAGTCATCTCTCCAGCCCCTATTTTTATTTCTATGAATTAAACTGTAATTATGGACAGTGGTTAGCTGCCATGTGGGTGCTTGGAATCAAACTCAGGTCCTCTGGAAGAATAGCAAGTGTTCTTAACTGCTGAGCCGTCTCTCTAGCCCTAATCCACCCTTATTTTATCAGAGAAATCTTACCCTCTGATCCTTGGGCCTAAAATATCTCATATATAAAATGGCAAGTGTATTTTCAATCTGTTGCTTCTAGAGCTTTGATGAGCACACCCTCATTTATTCACTGTGTTGGGTGGATGGCAAAATGGGGTCCCAAGGGATCAAGGTCATATACACAGGTCACAAGAGGAGCACATGGCTCTGAGCTCGTTTACATTATAAGCCATAGCTTTGTGGTTGCAAGTTAAGTAAAAGTCATTAGTCCAGATTCTGTCCATTTTATAAAAGTCATTCTTAGAATTATTCCCTGAACATAGCTGAACAATTAATTATATAGCATTTACCTTGTATCAGGTAGTAAATAATCAGAGAATGATGTAAAGTATCAGGAATGTGTTTAGGTTGGATGCAAATACTACAGTGGCAGGAGGCGGTCAGTGTCTTGTACTCAAACAAGATAACAAATGATAACTATTGGGACTTTATTTAAAATGTTTTTCTCCTTTAAATAGTGTGGTCCACTATGGAGCTATGGAGCTAGAACCCACTGTTCAGAGTAGCAGGCTGTAGAAGAAATGCTTCTTCACATCCCCTCAGCGCCCTCTGCTGATAGTCTCCCACCTTGTGCTCCAGCTCTAGCTCCACTGATTTGAACACCTTTACTCATCTGGAGCCAACTGATTAAACTTGAAATGTACATTTAGATGTAATGCTGGTTCTGTAACTTTTTTGTAGGCTCTTGAGATGGACCCATCAAATACCAAAGCGCTGTACCGAAAAGCTCAAGGATGGCAGGGATTAAAGGAATATGATCAAGCATTGGTAAACTTTGTTCATAATGCTTTAAAATAGATAATCACATCAAAAGTCTTAATGTCTAATGTTTCTTAATATCCCCCCTCTTCCCCAATTTAAAGGCCGATCTTAAGAAAGCTCAGGCAATAGCTCCAGGAGATAAAGGTAAGCTTGGCAGTGTCGTCCTGCAAAAATTATCCTCATGAACCATAGTACTCTTGACCCGGACAGATATTTATTTATTCAGATATTACAGAATTCCTATTACTGGTTCAGGCACTGGTCATGTAGTAAGTAGACAAGACATTCAATGTCTCTGCCTTACAGAATTTACATTCTAATTCTGTTCAAGAATGTACTTTAAAAAATTTTTTTTAAAAATACTATTTTTATTCTATGTGTATAAGTGTTATGCCTGCATGTAGGTAAGTGCATCCATGTCATGCAATGCCCTCAGAGGACAGAAGAGGCTGTCAGATCCCCTGGAACTGGAGTTATGGATAGTTGTTACCTGCCATGTGCGTGCTGGGATTCGAACCTGGGTTTTCTGCAAGAACATTCAGTGTTCTTAACTGCTGAGCCATCTCTCCTGTCCAAGAATGTACCTTTTAAAAGCGTAAATACTGCTTATTTTACACTATCATTTGAGACCCAGTTTCTTTTGTCGTAATAGTAGTCAAAAGCTCAGCAGAGAGAGAGACGGTATTGTAAATATGAAGTTTGGGATGTTTCTTACACTGAATGCCACTGATCTGGCATTCTAGCTACTGGATATATGGTTTAGAAGTGCTATGGAGGCAAGAAACTTTTCCCTAAGTACAGTAAATGTGAAAAGTGACACTAGGTTTAAATATTTAACAATCTCTTTGGTCTCTTGTTGCGAAAATAAAACTAGGTTAGCAGGGGCTGGAAAGATGGCTCGGTGGTTAAGAGCACTTACTGCTCCTCCAGTGGACCTGGGTTCACTTCTCAGCACCCACATGGCAGCTAACAGCTAGCTGTAGTTCCAATTTGAGGGATCTAACTCCCTCTTCTGATCTCCAGGCATTGCATGACACAAGTGCGCTTAACAATACATGCAGGCAAAATACTCGTACACATAAAGTATATAAGTCAAAAAAAATTGAAAAATGAGGATGGCAATTACTTTCTTTATTGGACATACCAAATCTTGTCTGTGTAATTGAGTTCTCTTAGTTGGTCTTCTAAATTATCTTCATGGTTTTTGTGACTCAGAGTAGAATGTTCTGTTACAGTTCAGTTAATTTATGGAGAAGAAAAGTTTTATCAAGGGAGAGGAAGAGTTAAGTGTTATCACAGTTCTTGATCCTTCTAATTTTTTAGATGTTTAGAAAATTAATTCATTAATTTTTTCTTTTTTTGCAGCTATCCAGGCAGAATTGCTTAAAGTCAAACAAAAGATAAAGGCACAGAAAGATAAAGAGAAGGCAGTGTATGCAAAAATGTTTGCTTAGTAAAGATCAAACTTATCTTAAATATCACACGTTGATTATATTAAGGACAATGTAGAGTTACTGTCTCCATACGATCGATCCCTGATGTGTTTCCTTTGCTGTTGTGTTCTCCTTGTGTACAGTTGAGAAGTACTGATAATAGGTTCCCTCTAATAAAGTGTGAAGAAATACAGTGAAGCTCATTTTGAAAAACTGCTGTCTGCATTTTACAAAGAATGGTGTCTAGCCAATGTTTAAACCTTTAAAATCTCACCTAAAATTTTTAGGCTTTGTGGATGATCTAGTCTGTTATAACTATGTGTATAACCAATGGGCATGGCTATGTTTCAATAAAACTTTATTCCTAACTGTTGAGCTGAGCTAAATGTCCTTCCCTGGTCTAGAATGTACATTCATTTTTATACTTGAACACTTAAAACATATCACGACAAAAGTAACATGAAGCCCAATAATATGCATTGCTGCTGATATAGAATCTTGGAAGAATTTGTAAGAGGTAAACATGCCACATCATTTATGAAGTTTTATTTGAGAAATTTAATGATTTTTATGGGATAATTTTACATAAAAAATTTTTTACCTCAGTAATTTTTGAAGGGCACTTGTTTAGAGGTTATCTAAGCAACTTAAGTTAGTTTGGCCTACATTTACACATGGTAAAGAAACGGGTTATTTAGTGTCTGTTACAAAGAAGTCGTGTGTTTTACATGCCGTTGTAAGCAGGTCCTCCTCCACCTTCTGGTACTACCCAGTTAATATTCTGACTTGGGTCTTTAATGTCACATGTCTTACAGTGCACACAGTTCTGAGCATTTATCTGCAATCGAAATCCATCACCTTGTTCCAAAGGAACAAATTCATAAACTCCTGTAAAGTGAAAATAAATATTACTAAGATATGAAACTAAAGATTTTTAGTTCAAAAGCAGAAATTAAAATCTTGAAACAGCTATAGAAACCGTTGAGATAATTTCTGAATGTTTACCCATTGAGAATATCATGATCTTGGAGTATGCGTCTGCTGTTAGTATGCACTAAATACATAATAAAAGAACAGTATTGACTGAGTTAGGCTCACAAGAGTAATCAGCTATTTTTGAATTCCATATTATAAATCTTAAAAAAAAAAAAAATTAGATCCAATCTCTACTTTCTGAGAATTTGCAGTACACTATAGTGACTTTTTTTAAAAGTCAAGATGTGGCTGGGTGTAGTGGCACATGCCTTTAATCCCAGCACTTGGGACAAGGCAGAGGCAGGTGGATCTTTGTGAGTTCGAGGGCAGCCTGGTCTACATAGTGAGTTCCAGGACAGCTGGGGCTACAAGGAAACCCTGTCTCAAAAAGAAAAAAAAAAAAAAAGTCAAGATGCAAGGTCTTAACCCTTGAAGAATTTAATTTACATTTTAATTTCTTGAAAATATACTGATTTTCACATAATCTGACTTCTACTTACTCTCCCATCTTATTTATATATAGACTTCTGGTTCTGATTGTTTCAATTGTAATTGAAAGCTCTCAACACTTAAGATTCCATATTTATGATGAATTTCAAGTTTAGCATTATCAATGTGGCCATAACCTAGTACCTGTGTAGAACCTAAAAACACAAGCGATCATTATGAAAACCTTTAAAAGGCACAAGGGCAGAGCTGGAGAAATGGTTCGGTGTAAGAGCACTGACTGCTCTTCCAGAGGACCTGGGTTCAATTCCCAGCACCCACATGGCAGCTAACAACTGGCCATAACTCCAGTTCCAAGGGATCTGATACCCTCTTTTGACCTCCACAGTCACTGCATGACACAGGTGCACCTACCTACCTATATGTAGGCAATACACTCATAAAATAAGAATAAAAATATTTTAAAAAGTGGCACAAGGGCAGGTATTTGTGCTTCATAATCCTGTAGGTCTGATGGTAGACAAGGTTATTTGGCGATAGGTCATCCAAACTAGGCTTAACCATTACCATTTTATCACTGCTGGTTAGAATGAGTTTGTTAAAGGAAGCTAAATATAGGAGTCATCTATAACAGTCTCCATGCAGTGGAAAGGAAACTTGCTAAAATGGAAATGTGTGTTACTATTTAGGAATGGAAGGAAGTCATTACTGACCTGCAGGGCAGAATCGCTGCTCAGGCCCATCATATATTGACAGATTTCTATTTATAGGTATGCTGTCATCCTTTAAGGTTAAATGTGCTGGCTGGTCATGTTCATGATTTGTACCGCTCAAAGCCACAGATGACAAGAGGTCAAAACTGATCTGTCCATCAGGTTTTGGATACTCAATAGGTGTACAATCCTTGGCTGGTTTGAGCTGATCAGAGTCGGAGCCTTCAGCAATTTTGAGGAAAATGTAAATACAGTAACAGGGCCCATGCATAGTAATACCATCTACCACTGAGCATCACTCAGACTCCAATAAAAGCCTTGTTACCTAGTCCAGGCTGACCTTGAACTTAATTATCCTCTTGCCTTTACAAGCTCCCTATATCTGGCCTTAAGAATTACATAAATATATTTATAATTTATATAATTATAAAAACTTAAAACCATCATTATAGCAATGAAATTCAAATATAATCTTTTATGATAGTGTTATCTTTTAAACAGAATGAATTTAAGGTAGAGGTGGTAATGCATATCTAATCCTAGTGCTTGAGAGGTAGAGGCAGGAGAAACAGGAGTTTAAGGTCATTTTTGGTTGCAAAGCAAATTTTAGGCCATCTGGGCCACGTGAGATTCTGTCTAACCCCACCCCCCCAAATATTTTTGTCTCACGGTAAGATTAAAATTGCTGGAGACAGAGCACAGTGATAGAGGGCTTGTGTAGCAGCCACAAGACCCAGGTTTAATCCATACCACCACAAAAAGAAACAGTAAAACAAGGTTATATCCTCTACTAATGAATGGATCTCACATTTTTCCCACACAGGTTTTTAAAGGTTTTAACATTGGTATTCTTAAGTGTATACGAATTACCTTTATGTTTTAGAGTCCATGGCTCCATTCCTCTCAATATCCAGTAAAATATTCCAGTGTAAATCATCCCTCCATATATTCCCAGGAGCCCATGGCAAGATGGCCTTATATTTCTAACAGAATGTAGCTCTTTCCATACCCATGATTTCTTCAAATTGTCCTCATACTCAGTTATGTGGAGTCCTTTCATGAAAAACAGGAAATAGTAAGTGTAAAGTATTTAGCCCATCATGCATAAAAATCCTACATCAGAGTATTCTGCTATTGAAAGATAATCTCAGGTAAATTTTGAAATCCGGTGGTCATGTAGACCAAGGAAGAATCAAATTCTGGTGTCTCCCTAAAATAATCTGACACATTTGCTTATAGGAAGGCATTTGATCTGCTTTCCTCCCCTCTTTGGGTGGCACTGAAGATTGAGCCCAGGACCTCATGCATGGTAGGCAAGAAGTCGGCCTCACTGGGCTATAAACTAAATTTTTACATGGGGAGCATGAAAAATGAGTTTGAAAAGGGAAACTTAAAAAACATAATACTCAGAAAAGTGAATTGTTTTATATAAAAGTCATCACCACAGTGTTTCCTAAAAATATATTTTGCAAAAATATATTTTGCATTCCTGATGGTCCCACCTCCAATACCTCAGGAACTGTGACCAAAGTATTGCAGACAATAATTAGTTGGGGTCTTCGTGGGCTGGTAATCCAAAATGACATTTGCTTTTAACAGACAAGATAGACAGGTGAGATGAAGAGAGGCAGAGAATGGAGGAAAGAATGCCCAAGGATATCAAGCTGGGATGGGTAGGGAAAACAAATTCAGAGAGCATGGTCCTACCAACCCCTTAATTTTGGACTTATGCTGGCAGAACTTATAAAGAAAAATCTGTTTAAAGCCATCTAGTAGAGTATGCTTAGGAAACCATTTATTTGGGGGGGGGGTGTCTGTGTGCTGGGGACTGAACCTAGTACTTCACCAGTGCTGGACAAGCACTCTACAACTAAGCTGTATCTAGTACTGTGCATTTAATATTTAAGATACCAATTGGTTCTTACTGCCTCTCATGAACTCCAGAGTGATTATACTTTTCAGTTAATTGTTCTGATTCTCCTTTTTCTCAAAGGCATTTATTTTTATGTTTTTTCAAATATTTTATTTATTATTTTTATGTGTATACGTGTATTGCCTGCATGTAGGTAAGTACACCCGTGTCGTGTCATGCAATGCCCGCA